GATTTATCTTGCTATAGCCTCTCAATTGGTGCAATTAACAGCTCTGTTTATTACAACATGTTTATATTTTCAGTTGTGAGGATAAGGAAAGGAAAGGAGACAAATACAGAGACTTATAAAACCTGACCATTTAGTGTTAACAAGGACAATACCTAGAAACAAGCCTGGTCAGTCATGTTAATTGATGGGCTGTCAAGAAACTGCAGGCAAACTGGGATTTTGCAACTGACAAAGGTGCAAACCTGAGGGTCCAGGCTGTCTGGAGGCAGTTACTGGAACTACCCCAACAGACGAGGCAATGTGCATGGGGAAGGGGGAGCAGGGAAGAACAGAGAGAGGTGTACAGAGAAAAGGGTATAAAAAGATCTGCTTGCATGTAAAACAGGTTTGGTCAGTACAGTTGTCTTGCTGAGCCCTGTGCCTGATCACCACAGTCTGTCCTATCTTCCTGTATCATCTTCTTTAATATTTTTCTCTCTATTTAATCTCATTCTCTATCCCACGTGTATGGCAAGGACAAAGTGCCAGCTACTGGTGACAGCTCTGTGTGTGTGAATGGATTTGCTACCAGCTCCTAGAGTCAAGACTGAGTGTGTGGTGTCAGCTAGTGGAGCAAATGGGGGTCCCAGCTGCCACCTGCTGAAGCAGGAACAGTGTGTTCCCAAAAAAACAGCTCCTGGGGTGGATCAGCATGATTGAGGGGCTCATTGCTGGTAGTTGGAGCAGGACTGTGGGTCACAGTCTGTGTGCCTGGTGCTGGCTGCTGGTGGGGGGACGAGTGTCTTTGTCTTCCCCAGTCCCAGTGTCCTGGTGTGTACAGAGTGTGTATTTGCTAGCAAACTCCAAAGTGGACTCAGCAGTGAAGAGAAGGCCCTAGAGCAGGGGTATGAGGCAGGCAAGGGTTCATGCTGGTATACCCAGGGTGACTTGTGAATACCGAGTGTCTGTGGTATGAGTGTGTGAGTGCACACATTTGCTAACAAACGTCAAACTGCACTAGCCAGTTCGTAGGGGACCTGCAAAGCACATTAAGAAGGCCTGGGATTCAGACAGGGTACCAGGAGGACAGGAATACTCAGGGAATCCACAAATGTACGTGTGCTTGTGAACCTAGAGTGTCACGTGTGCGCCTTCACTAGTGAGCTTCTATCTCTACCAGCCAAAGAGCAGGAAGGGCACTTGGCTGTTTATGCTTTATTCAAGTCCTATATGTAGGTGCGCCTTGTCTGTGGCAGTCTGTGTAACCAGCTATGTCAGTGTTCTATGCATGTGTGTCTTTGGGACACGTGCTCTGCTTTGCTACCGGTTAAACCTGCAAAAGGGAAAGCGGCAGCCACATCCCTAACCCTGGCCAGAAACCCTGGGTCCCCAGGCTGGGCTCCAGTGGCTGGGCAGGAGGGGGTCCTGGGACACTGCTGCTGGAGGAGGTGACTGCTCCTAACATCCCAATAGCAGCACAGGAAACAGAAAATAGCCTTTTCATTGTGAAAGGATTCACAGCAGAGCAGTGTGAACTGACTAGCAAATTCATCTGGATTAAAAACAATTACCATCTCTGAAAATTTTAAGTCAGACTAGATTAGCAATTTGGTTCACAGTGTAACTATAGGAAATATCACACTAGATACTGTCTGGTAGGATGGATACAGATGTGAAAAAGTGGCAATCCCGAGCTGGAAATAAAAACTGAAACAAAGCAATGTCCCAAATCACTGCTGCCTTCAGGATATCAGGTATTTTAAATGCTCCATCAGGTAGCAGATGATTCCAGGACATTCAAGTCCACTCTTAGGAAAGAAATTGAAAAGAAGGGCTCAAAAATATCCAACAAAGCTTTAAAAAAAAATAAAAAAAGACTAAACAAAAATTGTAATGAAAAAAGTTAATAGTGCAGCATTCATGGACCACAATTTTAGTAATGTGCCACACAAATATCCACATCTCAGTGAATTATGCTGTGCTCATTTTACAATCAGTGAGGGGCATAATTGCAACCAACCACTTCTAGGGCACTTGCTTTAAAATGATGTGTATGATACTCTAGACTTCACTGACTGCACAAGGAATGCAGTATGACCAGTGCAGATGTAAACATCCCACCCCTACTGTTCAGAACAGTCGTGCAGTTTGAAGATGGAACATAAGCTTTTACTACTTAGAAGAGAAGAAGCCTTTATCGTCAAGTATTTCACAGTGAACAATACTATTCAACAGAAAGTCTACATAAAAATACATATACATATACATTTACCTGTACTCATTTGTGTAGTCAAAATCTTGTTTGTTATGAGTTGGCTTTAGGAAGTTGCATTCAATAATCCCAACTACACCGACACCCATGTTGTTTGCCTGTAAGAAGTTAAGATCTATCAGGAAAATACATGCTATATATTTT